GAGCAGCTTCCTTAGCAAGCAACTTAGTTCCGTGTTGAACTAGTGCATGTCTACACGCGTGTCAGAGTCGTAGACCGCCCGTTTACACACGTCCAAGAAACGCTTGCACTTCGGAAATGAAGCCGACATTGGCGGTCATCAGTTTGATGTCATTAAAAAGTGTGCAGCTGACCAAGGTCGCTAGTAGTACAGTGTCTTTGCGCACTAGCGCGGCTATTGTCTATAGTGTGGACCGCTAAACGTTCACTTCTGAGCGGTTACGAGCGCTGCTCGAGGAGATTGTTAGGCTGGACGGACTGTATTCAAAGGTAGTTGTCGCTTGATGCCGCTAACCGGCGCTTGAGGACAGCCATGCCGTTTTGTAACTGCCGCATCGTCCGTGCACACATGAGTGTAGAGAGTAGGTACGCAATACTCATCCCTCATCGTCGAGCTCCAACGCTGGCGATTGTAGTGTGAATTGCAAACGTGACTCCAGGCGACAGTCATGGCCAATGCGTATGCCAGCAGCCCTGTGCTTAGCCATCCAGCACTGCTGACCACTCGGGAACGTCACACCTGTATCAGGGAAAACATCCTGGTGCTTACTTGCAGTTTCTGCTGGCAGTCCAGAAGCCGTCACGTGGACCATTATTCCTGCTGACATATCACTCATCTCTTGTCTTGGGGTAGCACCAGTGGCAGCGTATTTCACTACTGACACTAGCTGTAGAACTCTCTGGACTTGGGGCAGCTGTGGGAGCGTACCCCCACTACTGGATAAACAGCAGTGATGACTGATGGCCTCACAACCTGACCCCAGCACCTTCTCGGGCATCAGCACCTCCGTGGTCTAGTCTCAGTACTCCATAGCCGATCCCACTCAGTCGTGGTGTCCCCATCGTCAGTCCTGTGCAGCCCGCTCAGCCAAGGCTGATTTTGCCGAAACTGACCTTGCAGAAAGTCCCAATCCTTTTTACTTATGACAGACGGTGCCGATATTATCCAGTCAGCAAGTGCGCTTGACTAAGAAACTTCAACTTATGATGTTTTTCTTTATAGTGTAGACAGGCGAAGAAGAGAAGAGATATTCTACCCTGGTCAAAACTAATACTGGGACAAGGTATATGCACAAGGTATGTGCAGGTAGCAATCAATTGGACCCTGAGCCATTTGCACACTGCATTTCAAGTCGAGGACTTATGATAGTGGTGTGGCGAACATAACCAGGGAATCTGTCCAAAGACTTCTTCAGATTAGGGGGCCGTATGGGACGAAGTAAAACCGCTTGGTTCCCGCCCGCTCTTGCCAGCTCCTCGCCTTAGTCTTGCCCATTATGGTGAGTCCCTCGTTGATGCCCTGCGATAGCGATATGTATCGTGCCTGAGACTTTGCAGTGCAAAGTGCAGTCGCTACCCTCACCATCAGCACCAGCACTGCAGCAGCACCAGCAGCAGCATCAGTAGCAGCAATAGTGCCCGCACTTGTAGTTGTAGTGGGTCGTGTGGTGTCACTAAATGCAGTTGGCCACTGACGGTGGATCCACTCAGTGCAGACTGGTCACTACATACTGTTTGTCGACGCAATCCTGCTCGCACCAAGATAGTCGTCGCACAATCGGAGGGTTGCAGGAGGAGACGAGCTGACCAAAGGTAGGAACAAAGGACCTTGTTGCGGTAAGAAGGTGGACAGAGCAAGGACACCCTTGCCGGTGATACATATGTAAAAACTTGACTAGCGTTGTGTTAACTCTTTGCTGTTGGTCTCGGATCGATAATTGTTTTCCAGGCTGTTCGTGTAGTTCACACCCAAAAATAGAATTGTCTGCTCTGACTGACTGGCTGCAGACAACGATGCAGAAGTATGTGAGACTGCTTACTACTGCTTCTGATCGTTGTGTACATCCAGCAATTTAGGACGCATCCTGGATTTCTGACATTTGATTGTGTTCCTTTTTTCATAGTTTCTGTCTAGGATAGCATTAACGCCACCGTCTTGCATTGGCTCAAGATCTTGCGCAGCACGTTGAAAGTAATAAAGTTCGCGAGCGAGCGAGCAATGTCGATGGCATAAGGTGTCAAGCTAGTTGTCGCTGTTTTGAAGCTTTGGCTGCTGTAGTAGAATACTGTTACCTACTTGGATAAGAAATTCAACTCACGTCTCATTCGAGCGTGAAAAAGGAATGGTGATGGTGAATAGCGTGTGAGAAATTGAAGAAAAAAAACATTGATTTGCGCGCTGAGGTACTTCCGTTCGCCGCCTCCACTCCACGTGGGCCCACACGTCATGTCGGTTGTGACTTGTCGCCGCGGATAGGCACAATCAGGACGAGTTATTTGTGTGGGAGCCAGAAAATCATCCAGCCCCGGGGAAGCGGCTGGTGCCACTGCTGCACTAGGTGAACGCTCTCGATCTCGCTGTCCACTGCGGCAGATGTTGGGTAGAAATACGTGATATTTTTCGGATCAGTCTAAGTGCCAGTTTTGAAAGCCGGCTGCGGGCAGCCACACTTGCTGACAGTGACACAGACATCAGAAGAAGCTCCCTGCTGGGTGGTGCTGCCCCTTCCCCGTCAGCGTTTGGCCAAGGCGTCCTTGGGATGGCCCCCGTCAGACTGCTGGAACGACAACCATGGGCATAACTCGCATTCCTCTGTAAGTCGAAGACATTGCTGGTGTTGCCAAGCGTGTAAGCCTGGCAAAGGCCCCTGCTGTTTACAATGGTTTAGCGCCTCACCGCCTTCTACCAATCTCAAACACTACATTGTACGTGATCCGCATAATTGCAAGTAGTGTAGCTGTTAGTGAGCTGTGCCTGGGGGTCAAAGCAAGAATGAGCCAGCTAATAACCCGGCTGGAAAACAAAAGGGTTCTAAAGACTAGTAAAGTATTGGAGCTTGTTCCTCGTACAGCAATATTGTGTTGTGTTGTAGTGCAGATGAGGGCATGACATTGTAGCTATCCGAGTATCTTGTGTTCTGCTACAAGGTCGCCGACAAGCTGTGTGTATGTCGTCAAGAACGGTCAGCTCAATGAACGGCATCCTCACATGCCCTTGGGCCAGGCCTCGGTGTCTGGGGGCCATGCTTTCAGACGAGCCTGGGGCAATGTCAAACTCATGCACAGGAGTCATATCATGCATACATACATGTTGTGCCAGTAGTCAGGTCGAAAGCATAGGCAAGCTTCTTCACTGCTGGCGCCCGTAGTAGCTTCCTGGACAGGAGGTGGGTATTTTCGGGAGGCCTACACTGACCATTCCAGTACAAGATCACACATGTCAGTGCCTGTGCCTATCTTTGGCAGGAGCCAGTGGAGGACTGGTATGGTGTCACGTGTACCATGTGTACTGTGGTCCCTGGCCTGGGTGCCGTCCGACTCTAGACAGGCTCGTGGCCAGACATGTACCACCACATCATTAGCTTAGACTGTCGTGTAAAGAAGTCCTGGTGGTTCAGTGAGCCACATACATGATGTACATGTAGGCTAGAGAGAGTAGACTACACAGTGGCACTGATAGCATGGTCCCCCTAAACCCCGTGGCCAGGGTCACCATGACCAGTGGCATGCACCTTGTCAGGAGTAATGGTATGCTGCTGCTGCTGATGGTGATGATGATGATAATTCCAAATAGGTAGTGGGTTAAAAGTTCATGTTGCCCTCACAAGGCAGGCAGTAGAGGCATTCCAGCTCAAACTCAACCTTACACAGATCTCTCTGCAAGGGACACATTGAAAGAAACAAAGTGCTTTGAACACTATGATCTGAACCGTATGGCCATTCTGTCTATGAATGTAGCGATAACGGGGAAAAGAGAAGTCACATTCAAGCAAACCAGTGGTAGCAGTGGGTGAGAATATTCAACTCACTGGTGGTTCTTTGCTTCAAAGTAACAATTGCCAGTTATAAATATGTCAATACATCACACACTTGCTAGTTTTCTTCAGCCTTGCACCTTCTCGTCATTCCTTTTGTGAGTGTGCGTGTGCGTGAGGTTAAGCACTTCTACAATGGTGTTTCTTGCTACTCTTCTCTGCCCTGTTTCTCTTGCTACTCTTCTCTGCCCTGTTTCTCTTGCTACTCTTCTCTGCCCTGTTTCTCTTGCTACTCTTCTCTGCCCTGTTTCTCTTGCTACTCTTCTCTGCTCTGTTTCTCTTGCTACTCTTCTCTGCCCTGTTTCTCTTGCTACTCTTCTCTGCCCTGTTTCTCTTGCTACTCTTCTCTGCCCTGTTTCTCTTGCTACTCTTCTCTGCCCTGTTTCTCTTGCTACTCTTCTCTGCCCTGTTTCTCTTGCTACTCTTCTCTGCCCTGTTTCTCTTGCTACTCTTCTCTGCCCTGTTTCTCTTGCTACTCTTCTCTGCCCTGTTTCTCTTGCTACTCTTCTCTGCCCTGTTTCTCTTGCTACTCTTCTCTGCCCTGTTTCTCTTGCTACTCTTCTCTGCCCTGTTTCTCTTGCTACTCTTCTCTGCCCTGTTTCTCTTGCTACTCTTCTCTGCCCTGTTTCTCTTGCTACTCTTCTCTGCCCTGTTTCTCTTGCTACTCTTCTCTGCCCTGTTTCTCTTGCTACTCTTCTCTGCCCTGTTTCTCTTGCTACTCTTCTCTGCCCTGTTTCTCTCACATCTCTTCTCTGCCCTGTTTCTCTCACATCTCTGTTGTGAAAGATTGATTTGCTTGTTCAGTTTCTTTTTGCCGGTTTTCCACCCGATGAGAAAGCACCAAAGCTATACTTGAGGAAAACTGCGGAACATTCCTGGGGAAGAGCCTGAAACTTGTTCTTGCCAAAGTCTAACCGAGTTGTTCTGCATAACATTACCATGTGTATTTAGCCATTGCTCCCATTGTGTGCTGTGACTAGACTGTGAGTGTGGAGGCAGAATCGGGAACCTTCAGCACTGGAGCAGCTTCTCTTGTTCCAGTGTATGATACTTCATGTGCTGTGTATGTGTGTGTGTGTGTGTTTGTGTGTGTGTGGGGGTGTGTGGGTGTGTCTGTGTTTGTCGGTCTGTCTGTCTGTCTGCCCAGGCACAATATGTAATCACAGTCCTGCCGAGCAGTAGAAGCACACCGCTACAGACACACACACAATCTGCACAAATGAGTCAACCACCGTTACTGGATAGAGACTCTGATGCAGACCAGGAGTCATCCAGCGAGGAAGCGTTGCTAGAGGAACGCCGCTCCACACCGCCACTGAGGACATTCAAGGCCACCAAGAGACCGCACAGTCCTGAACAGCAGCACGCCAGCACCAAGTCAGTGCACTTTCAGTCTAGAACACCGGTCAGCACATGTCCCAGTAGCAGCAACCCGTCCATGACCTCACCTACCATGGCACACAGACCTCGCAGTGCCAGTCAGGACCTGAGGTCTCCCTTAGTGCAGTACCACCCTGATAGCAAGTCAGTGGAGAGAGTACCGACATCGGCATTCTCCACTCAGTTCATAGTGCACCCGTCCGCCTCCGCTATCCTACCACCGGCAGTGTTCATGCAGGCACATGGAGAGGTCCTGCCGCCGGGGACGTTCTTTGCAGCACCAATGGCTGCGTACGGTCAGGGCCACCGTGTTCTGCCCCACAGTTCACCGATACCCAGCTCAGTGTCAACACCGGTGTACACAACACACGAGGGAGCAGCGTACGGCTACGGCAGCACCACGCCGGGAACATCGACGCCGTGGTCGGATGGTCGGCAGGCCAGCCTGTCTTCATCCACCGATCAGCTGACCACGTCGTCGTCGCTAGGCTCCGCACCCGGTGCCATCACAGCCCGCTCACCTCACCATCATCGCACAGTGCCACCATCGCCACAGCAACGTGCCACCGAGGCCTTCCCTGGCATGCATCTATCCAGAGAACATAGAGGAACAAGTATGTGACCGATTACTGTCTTGTCACTGTTTACAACTTGTATCAACCATTAGTCGTACAGAATGGGTCACACAGAGCTAGTAGTACAGAATGGGTCACACAGAGCTAGTAGTATAGAATGGGTCACACAGAGCTAGTAGTATAGAATGGGTCACACAGAGCAATGGGTCACACAGAGCAATGGGTCACACAGAACAATGGGTCACACAGAGCTAGTAGTATAGAATGGGTCACACAGAGCAATGGGTCACACAGAGCAATGGGTCACACAGAGCAATGGGTCACACAGAGCAATGGGTCACACAGAGCAATGGGTCACACATGCAGAGCAAGGGGTCACACAGAGCAATGGGTTACACAGAGCACACCGAGCTGCTAAAAGGAATATCAGGGTGAACAGCTTGCAAGAAAACCGAAGGAGAAATTTGATGATATTCACATCCACTGCATGGCTACAGAATATTACTGGCATGGAAGAGACTCAGTGTTGGGTGCTGTTGCCCTTGTAAAGGCACGCCGCACGCCTCTCTTCCTCCCTTTCCTTACACAGCACACAGGAGAGCCCCTCGATAGGCCTCTGCGGCCTTTGGACAATCCTTAAATAAAAATCAATCAATCAATCAACCAAACAGCTAACTATACCTTACTGTGAATCTATGTGTGTGTATGGGGGTGAAGGGAGGGGAGGGGGGGGCAGGTTCCACAGACATAACTATAACTTGGATGCACCTGAAAGCAGCAGAACAGTGTTGTTGTTGCCTGCTATGCAGTGTTCGACACACTACATGTACACACAAGTAGCAGTAATGCTTACCGTGATCTTCCCTGGACTCAGTCCCCTCTCAAATTTGTTCCGTGACTGCTGCAGGATTTCCTTCGGCCGGTTCACTGAGCTCGATCAGCACACCGAGCGTAGGTCCACGACCAGCGGGTCCACTGGAGATGCACCCGGAAACGTACACAATACACCCAGCACCACCAACACCTCAAGCAGCTACACCAGTGGCCGGTGGAGGTCACGCCCATGCCGTACCAACACCACCAGGAGTAGCCGCAGCGGCGGCAGCAGCAGTGCCAGCAGGCTATAGCATGCACCCAGAGTACACGACTATCGCAGCGACTGCCGTACCGGCGGGAGCGCCCGGCATGGAGCAGATATTGACGCTGCCCTACCAGAGCCATCTGGTGCGCGAGATGCGCACGAATGCGGCAATACGACTGCCTGCGATGCCCAGACCGGAAGGTGAGTGGCAAGGCTTTGCCGATTGGGATTCTTCGCTTACGTACGGCTGTGAGCAACTCTCACAATGTGCTGCATTCAGTGGCCAGAAAATACCCAGTGATAATTGAACTGTTAAATATACATGTGCCAAGACCATGCACGCAATAGACGTCAGCAGACACAATAGATGGTGCCATTGAGTAGGGAAGGGCGTCATTTTGAAGAATAAGTCCAAGTAACAACACATTTCACCCATCTGTACATGCATGTACATGGTTTTCTGCTTTGTTTCTCTCTTGGTTTTCACAGAGGGCCATTGCCAGGCAGGTGGTGAGCTTCGTCTTAGTCAGCTGAAGCACTGCGGTCAGAAAATCCACGTCCCGGCTGGTTGTGCTCTGGTTGGCTGCAGGTCACCACAGCTTGGTCAAACAACACTGCTGGCAACCGTGGATAAACGGTACGAACACTTTTAAAAGCACTATTGTGATACACATCTCGACCTGTTTAGCAAAGATCACCTGTCTACAAGGATTTGTATCCAGTTGGTATTGGGACGACATGTTGCTAAGGGCCTATCCACACTACAACAAAAACCGCGTACAAGTCACTTTTCCTTGTAAGTTGTCATGGAGAACCGTGGGAAACGGCGCGAAAGTGAAAAAGTCGCTTGAACGTAATCAGCAACTTCCGAACCCCGATACAAGGCCACTTTTTACTTTCAAGTAGCTTTTCCAGGTTTCGGAAGTAGCTAGTTGTTGAAGTATTTGTTGAAGTATCTTGAGAAAATGCCGAGGGTTGTGTTCTGTGAAGAGCTGGAAGGAAAGCTCATTGAGCTGTGGGCTGCAGAACAGAAAGCGAGCCATGGGACGATGAAAAAGCGGTCGGTGAAGGAGAAGGAGATTGCCGTGAAGTTGAATTTATTCGGCCGCGAGCTGTATGGCGATAAATTTCAGAATGATATCACAGTGCCGATTGTCCACAATTGACGGCCAAGCGAAGTAGTGCTTGCACTCAGGAGCAGCAAGAGTCCTGCTGTGGGAAAGAAAGACGATTCTGACTGTTCATCCATTTCCAAATCGCGCGTGCAGTCAAAAAACCTTGATCGGCTCAATGATTGGCTGAGGTATGTCGCAAACAGCAACCTCTTTCGTCTTCGATTGTCCATAACTGGAGGCATTCTCCACTCGAATCAACAAACAGGGGGACATAGGTAGGAACAACAAGATAAAGCCTCCACGAACAAATTTCTGAGTCGATGATTTCTCTTTCACTTTCAGATCAATGTGGAACTCTCTGAGATAAAATTTTGAATATGAGGGGAAATTCCCGCGGGCGCTCCTCAAAAGTCACGTTTCACGCCGGCTGTTCTTGCGAGTGTGGATGCAAGTGCACTTGCACGCCACTTGAAAGAGGACGCTACTACGTTTCACACCTGTAGTGTGGATAGGGCCTAAGGCCCTCTTCAGACTAGGTACAAAACAGCCTATAAGTCACATTTACGTAGAAGTTTCCAAGACAACAACAAGAATCTGGCGGGAAGCCTAAAAAGTTGCCCAATCCTTTCAGGCAGGGTGCGAACCCTTGTACAAGGCAACTTTCCTGCATTTATCGTACTTTCTCATCAGGTAGTTGTACAAACGTACAGACTTTGAACCCGGGTACGACTGCCGGCTGCTTTCACACATCCCAGGTCCATTGCACAATAGCGTAGGGTCGAAGGTTGCCTGTATATTCCATGTAAAATGTGTAGTCTGAATGTAGGCTTGGAAAAATGTTGCCTTTTAGGTTTTATGTGATTTTGTACTGGATGTTCTATGTACGTAGTCTGCAGAGGGGCTAAGCTTGGATGTGCATGTTGTACATACCCATGCACTCTACATTCTGATGTATTCTCTGCTGAAGCGTATAGAGCATTGTGCACACCAGCCTGATGACGTAGTTGTTCCCACTATACACATACACACTCCGTGTCATGGTGTAACATACACATAGGTACCTACCCGACCCGCACACGGGATCAAACGTGCAAGGTTTCCATGGCAACTGCATTGGGTGCGGGAAGACGGGATTCCACTTCTTCACGGACTTCTGCACCCATATCAACCTGCGACTGAACACACAGCCTAAGAAACAGAAGCACATCCGCTACTACATTGACATGGATGATAACGGCAGCTTGAAGACGGGCACGGTGGTGCCTTGGAAAGGTTAGCTATATCTTATTTACAGCTGCTATTAAACCTTGTGAATATTGACCCTCGACCGTGCACGAGAAATGTGTCCTTATTCACGAGGCTGAAAGTACTACCCGTAAAAGCCCGTAAATAAGTACCTGCCCGAAAGAAATACCCCCTTCATTCTTTTGGCTCTGTCTGTTGAAGTCAAGTCGAGCCCGATAAACATACTGCCCGAAATAAGTACCGGTACGGTGCGTACATGCAGCACGTAGCATGTACATCGACATGAAAATGACTTCTCCACTACACACAAGTCAGGTCCGAAAGTTAGTTCGTGCCCGAAAGTCAGTACCCGCCCGAAAGTTAGTACGGGTGTGGTCACTAAATTCGAAAGTAAATACGTACTTATTTACGGACTTTTACGGTAGTATGCAGTCAAATCGTCATTAAGTCCAAATGTTGTGTCGTTATTCGCGGGTTGTTATACCCCAGATCGTTATTGTACTTATACTTTTTGCAGTGTGACAGTATTAATCACGTGTCACACCAGTGGTTGTTGGCTTTTGCCCAGCTTTAGTATTGTTGTAACCTTTTGCATTGTTTGTTTTCTTGTCTAGGTTCCTCTACCTTACTTCTCTTTACGTCCGGAGCTAATCGAGGCACAACTGGTAGTGAATCTGACGATGCTACATCACCTGATCACCTCGGCAGCATACACTCTGGGTCGTCGGCCGGCAAAGAGGCTGTTAAGTACAGCCCGCATGCCGGCATTGAGCCACCAGCCAAACGTCCGATGACCAGCACGCCAGCCGATCATCCACCTGCTCTTGCACCGGCTAGCATTCAACTTGCCACACCACAGAAAATGACAACTTCACCGCCGCTTCCTAAGAGCCAATCTGTGGCGCAAAGGCCTACTGCTGGTAAGCAAGAGTACCTATATTACACCTATATCAAATCCTCCCAGCACACACATAGGCTACTGTTACCTACCCAATGTTGCATCACTACAGGTCATAGTTCCTGACAAGCCAACTGGTCTGCAAGGGCAAACGTTCGTAGAGCACCGTGACCTCACACCTACACACACTAGCTGTTGAAGTTCAATGTCACACTGGTTGGAATCTGCATTACGGTCTCCTAGCTCATGAGAATCACAAACAGTATGTCTTGACAAGTCTGAGGAACTTTGCAGGAACTTAGAAGGAACAATATAATGGAATAATACTTTCAAATGGAAGAGAAAGTAGACAAAGCAGGGGAAAGATAACGGTAACAGTCATACAATGCCATGCGAGTACTAACTGAGGCTGTGGGGTTGAGATGGATTAGAAGAATTAGAAGCATGAATGGCAGCACATGCAGTGTCTTCACTGAGTTCTGTATTGGAGCACTTATAATGTAGCTCCATATTTATGAACTGTGACTCACAGTTTGGACGTAAAGAAGCAACAGTCACAGCTGATGCACTGTGTATATGTTGGTGTGCCTATTACAGGCCAGCAGCCCAGCGACAGTCTAGCAAGCAGCTCGGGCATGACATCGGCAATGGCTCCCAAACGCTGGCAGTCACCAGCTCTCCTACCATGCTTTGGTCACAGTGCTGATATCATACAGGATATTTCTGCCAGTCTACTTCCCATGGCTGCCAGCACAGGTGAAGCAAGTGGCCAACCACCACCACCATCACCACCACAGGAGTGTGTGTGGGATTTCTTCGAGCAACCTCTATCCACTGTTGATGAGCTCTGCCATCGCTACCGGGGTGCTAGTCCCGGGCTGGAAGGTGGTGATACAGAGTACCAACAAGCAGCTGCTTTCGTCAGTGAAGCTTGCTTTCTGCTAGGCAGCTTTCTGCTGACCAACACAAGTTTCAAGATCCTCCTCCGAGAAGCATTCACAATGTACATGCACCGTGGGTTAGTTGCAAGTAGGCAACAACAGCAGCAGCAACAGCTGAAGACGGCCAACAGGCCCATGGACTGTATAGCAGTTAGATCAACATTGTTATCACTGGCCGCCAGCAGCAATGATGTACTGTCCGTCAGCACATCCAGTGAGTCCTTGATGGACGCCGTTCAGAAGGGCGTGCGAAATAGCACGGCATCATCGGAGACAGCCGCCCAACAGCAGCCATGCAGGCCTGACTTCACAATCTGCATCTATTCCAGTAGTGACTCTGTGTTTGATATGCAAGTCTGTGTCGTGCTGCAGTCCATGGACTTGCTGGCCAAACTACAAGATAATGAGCATGGCTTGCAGCCAGCAAAGGAGACCGGCATTCACGACCTGTATGAAGTCTTTGTAGGAATGCAGCTGAAGACTGGAATGTTGCAGCAAAGCAGTGCTTCTCCACTGCAACAGCTTCCTGTGAGGACGTATGGGCAACCCAGCGACCCAGCTGGTCCACTCAACCTACCATCACCGAGCAGGGATTCAGTTTGTCTGTCTCAACATCAACTGCAGGTTGCTTCAAACCTTGCCAACAAGTGCTATGAACAAATGGTAAGGCAGTTGAAATCGATTCCTGGTCAGAGCTATGATATGATTGATTTCATCATATTGGTACGCCAGAGCTGTCCAGTGTATGTAGAGATGGTTCAGCGACTCATCCAGTCACGGGCAGTCGAGGAGCTGCTACAGTCTCGAGGTGTCTCCCCAGTGCACGTAGCTGAGGTAGCCAGGGAGCGCGTGATCTGTGTGGACAGCGAGGACCACTTACTGGCCATGCAACTGGCCAAACTGGGCGCGTACGCGCTGGGCTGCCCACGCACACTGTTCTTGGTCATTGCCAAGGACTGCATGAAGTCACCGGTGGCCAGCGGGACTGCACATGGTCAGCTGGACAACTTGCTAGCACTGCCCAACACCTTCATGATCTGCTCCATGATGTCACACTATTCATGGCTGGCCACTAACTCACTGCTGCCCGAGGACAACATAGTAGAACTGTGTCCGGATGCCAGCACCTACCATGGCCTCAAACAGCTGCTTCACTCGCACACCTGGTTCAGCAATTCCATCACCGAAGGCGATCAGAAATGGATGGTTGATGAGGCCTTTGAGAGCACACTAACCAGAATGAAGCCATCCGTCACAGCCAGGTAAGCAGGTGGGCTAGACATGCGGTGGATTTGGTTCTGAAGCTGAGGGACCTCCTTACGGTGATATTGAAATGAGTCATGTCGGTAGAGGATACAACAGCCATGAACATTGAATGGATATGGAGGGGTGTGGCCGTGAGAAAGAGAGAGAGGGGATAGATTAACTGGATTGGATGAGAAATCATTGAAGACCTGGGTGACGAGCCGGGAGTTCATTTGGACATGTATGGGGTGGGGTATCACAATACTAATACGACAACGTGCAGGATGATTGGGACCATGCTGGAGAAGTCTGTGTTGCCCAGGCAGGCTCATTGGAAGCTGTTATAAGGTGGTCCGGCTAGTCTTCAGTCCCTACCCCAGTACCAGCTCCAGAACAAAATACATGTACAACTATAACACGATGATACTTATAGGCATGGCTTGAGACAAGTTTGTGACGTTTCTCAATGACGATCTGGGATGAACAGTGGTTAGGCTATTTCCTGCAAGAGTGACCAGGCCTGATGGCAATGCCATGCTTATGGAGTTTATGGTTATTTTGATGGCTTATTGTTGTATCCTGCTGCTGGTACACAATTGTTGGTTTCCTTTACAGCGCACATCTGATGTCAGAGAGTGAGCTGCGAACATTCCAATTGCTACAGGAGTATGTCCTAGCGTGGGACCACCTACGCTCTGGCCAGCACCAGCGCCAACGCTGCGTGTCGCAAGTGACCGACGACATCATCGGTGACCTAATGCACAGCAAAGTGCCAGCTAGTAGCATTGTCCGCATTCCCCACCAGGCACTGGCCCTCTTCTTCTGGAATCAGTTGTGCAGTGTATTCCATGGCCAACACAGGGAATCTAGTAGCAATCTCTCCGACGATATCCTCCTAGCTCTCTATGATGGTCAGGGGCCAATCCGAGTGTGCCAGAAGGTCAGAGGAAGTACCAGCTTTCTCAGTCCAGAGAGCCCACGTCCGCCGTCCGCATCATCGATCGGCGGCCAGTGTTTCAGTCAGGTGTCATCGCTGCGCAGTCTACCCGCTGGTCGTGTGCTGCTCGTCTTGGCTGGCTCTGTGACTAGTCTACATATTCCCATGTACGTACACCTTTCTTGGGGTCTTCAAGTCTGGGCATACTGCTACACAATACGTTCACAATACTCAAGTATGAGTCAAATATTCATGAAGTACAAGTCAGTGCAAGTCTTGCGGGAATTCATGCAGTTGTTTGCAGTTGTTTGTAGGTGTACATGCTGCATTTTGATCAGTCTCAAGGTAAAGCAAGTGCTAGCCTTGATTTGCGTAAAGCACATGGGAAATAGTGGGTTAAAGGCGCACTGTGGAAGTCATGATAGTATCTGTCAAATGATAAGGTTGTCCCGTTGAAAATCAGGGAATCGTTGCTGAGTATAGTATGCCTGGATGTGATGCATGTGCACTGTGTATCCAGGAATGTTCGCTTCATTGACTACCGTGGCCATGGACGCAGCTACCTGACGCGGGCAGATATCCAGGAAGAACTCAGCCTTATGCATGGCTACTCACAGCCATCACACCCGTCTACGACTACCCCGACAAGTGTCAGCAGGTCGAGCAGTACCCCCACAAGGACTCATGATCACCTGCCCTGCATGGCAGTCTTGTCGGTAGCAATGCTCCTGCCAGTCAGTGCTGTCGTTGGCTCAAAGTCAGATTTACCAGCGCCGGAACACATCCTGTACGGCATTCAGAACCTGCTGCCCTGTGAGAGACTGCGGTGGCTAGATGGCATACACCGCCGGCCCCTAGTCAGCAGCCAGCAGCGCTCCGCTCTTGCTGGCGACCAGCTAGCAGACGAAACAGCGTACTACCGAATGTGGTGCAGACTGAGGTGCAATACAGCACATGCTGAGCAAGAGGCAGCTGTGGACACAGAGCCACCGACTAAAAGCCCTAAGCTCTGGCTACTCATGGGACCAGCAAAGGTAAGATACTTGTGCTCCAAACTCATGATGGTTTAAAACTATCTTTGACAAGCCTGTTTTCTCTGTACTTACAAGGCAGTGCCGAGATGGGCATTCTCTTGCACACAGTACCCAATGTATGGAAAGGATATGCACCCATGTCCAATGGCAGTAAAGCAGGAAATGTCTGTATGACTGTGTTTCATAACCCTATGTAATATTGATAGTGTGGCAAAGCTACCATCAGTCCTCAGCCCTTGGGCTGCATGCCCCACTCTGCTCTGTTCTGTTCACAACTTCCCTTTGTCTTTTTCTGTGTTCTCTCCCTAGAGTGGTAAGGCGGCCATTCTCCTGGAAACACTACGGTTGCTTATTGACAAGTGGGTCAGTGACCGACAGCCCAGTCTGACAACAACAACTACCACGGCAGCCGCCGCCGCGACGACAATGACGTCAGCGAGACCGGAGATCAGCGGCCAAACATGACATCAGTGATTGCTGAGCCAGTCGGCGATACTGGCCTAACACAGGCTCATAGTCGGCGATACTGGCCTAACACAGGCTCATAGTCGGCGATACTGGCCTAACACAGGCTCATAGTTCCTAGCCAGCTACATCGATGCTATAATGCCAAAGCCTGAGCGTAGTGTGGGAAAGATAAGGAAGGAGACGGCAACACCGAGATAGCTCTCATCGCACATCTGACCGGAAGCTTACACAGCTGGACTAGAGCATGTACACTATGTATATACTATTGTATAGGTTGATAGGGCTTGCCACTTTGTAAGGATTTGACACCCTGCAGCCAGTGATAGTCTTCTTGTATAAACAGGACACTGGCAAATCCTCACTCACTGCACTACCAAACGCGGCTTCGTGCACCGAAGTGCAGCCGACTCCACCCTAGGTCTACGAATACCATGCATTTAGTGACCGTTTGGTTCCATTTTAACTATCTCTGACCCTCTGCTTATAGCTGGTGTGCCGGGGCTGTGGCATGGACTGACTGCTGATCTTCCTCCTTTTCTACAAATTTAACGTGGGATTTGTTCCTTGAGATGTTACACTGACTGACCGCTGGCTAGTTGTGACAATTTTACACATTGAAAATCAATTGAGGTGGTAAACTAGCCGCCAATCGCTTCTGATCATTTTTGAGTTTCTTGCAGCATCTTCGGTTCTCGTCTACTCCTATTTAATAACAGGTCACAGGTCACAGGTCACATGGTCATGGTGATCCAGCCACACTGTATGGATAGCACACAGCCAAGCAGCACCCTATAATTATTATACCCTGCCTTTCTCGCTATTCATTTGTATTCTTAGTCTGCAGTACTGGTTAAATGCTGCCCAGTAAAGCTGATCAGCAGCAGTAGATCTACACACTACACAGCGATTACACAAACGTGTAGTTCTACAGAACGTGTACAATGCTCAGCTGTCTAGTGTGATCATGTTTCAAGAAATCAGAAAACCCGTACCGACATTCACAATCTATCGCCCATGTAGATACTGGTCTGTGGAAATTAACACGTTCAGTCTGATCTTGCCTGAGGTGCCTAGCTCCTGTTTTGCAAACAGTGTGTGAGGGGTAGTTAGGTGCTTTGCGCCTTGCCGCAAAACCAATACATCAACCCATACCTTCACCAGAAAGAGCATATGTTTATTAGTACATGTGCATGCATAGTAACTATGCATTGTACTTGCCATCATGCCACTCACTGAGTCACGCTAGGTGGTAACCATAGTTACAGTGTCAGAGTTGAAAACATCACAACAATTACATAGTTATGTCGTTCAGTAGGATTTCTTGGGGGGGGGGATTGCCTGGCTGGAACTGTTTCTGCATAGTACAGCCACTTTGTAGTAGCACTACATGAATATAATCCAAACAATGCACTTTCACAAGTGGTGCTACATGTCCTCAGCTACACCTGCACGGGATCATGGGTTAGGATTTAGGAAAGATTCCCTTATCTGGCCTAGACCAGCCATAGCCAGCACGGGCACAATATTATCATCTCCCTTTCCAGCTTGCCCCAGCCTCTAGCCAGGCTTATCCTACAACTAAGTAAGTGCAAGGGAAGGTGACAGACTGCACCATGCATGCATGGCAAAGTCAGGTACATGTACGGTGTACGTGTATCAATGGCATTTGACCAACACTCAACCATACAATACCATGTCATGGTGTTCTTACTTGTACATTGTCTGGACAGGCAACATGGACATTGTCTATCCGTAAGTCAGTCTGTTGAAGTTGAATATCAAACCAAGCGAACTCATTCTCTACTCAGCTCCATCATGTACCACAGTATCGACCTAGCAAAACGGCAGTGGGTCAACTACCGGTATGACACAATGCCGCAGCTGATTGCCCTGTTCGTATGTACGTAGAGTGGGCAGACGCCAGACCCCACATGCAGATTAGCATACTCTTAGGACTACGTACCCTAGCTAGTACATGTATTTAGGAATCATCAAACTTTTTCAAATGCTTGTGACGATTACTACCTTTTCTTACTACTCGAGTATTCGGTATGATCGCTCAGCCCTAGTTTCCACGGCTCTCTGCATGAAGTGCAACCCAGTGAATTTGACACGATAAAGAAGTGTATTTGAACCATATTCGTGGAATAAATAAATGAATAAATCCAGCACGCTTGGGCCATAATCAGAATAATAGATTAAAAAAAAGTGAGGTGGACCTGACGAAGAAGTCTGCACATCCTGAGAACAGCATCACCCAGTAACGGGCAAAGCATGATCCAGTTCAATCTGAAGGATAAGAAACGCATACTGGGAAGCAGGGTTCTCACTGTGCTGACCATAATCGTCTAGGGGTTACCATACACGCTGTGACAGCTCACTGGACAACAAGTCACAACTGACAGGCAACACCAAGACACTTCACAGAGTGACAACTCACACGGTGACTCAACTCACAAGCAACAGTCAACACCACCACATTTCACAGTGTGACAAACTCACAAGCGACAGTCAACACGGAGGAGACACAACTCACAAGCGACATTCAACACGGAGACACTTCACAGTGTGACAACTCACATGTCGACTACTCACAGTGCCTTCAACTCCGGCTCACAGGCACACGACTACTTACGAACAGTGCAACAGTAAGTCTGGTCTAACTCTGAGCCACGTCTCACGGCTTTACTCGTACTCACTCATTAAACGCCACTTTGTGTTAGGATCGCAGATGCCCATAATAAAGGCATTAAACACTATCTCCTGCTCTAGGCGCCTAGTCTCAGCTTCCTGCTGTTCCAGTTTCTCAATCAACTCCTCACGGCTCAGATGATCAAACTGTGTCTTCCAGTGTGGCGAGCCCATGCTCTCGTGGTGTGACAGACCGCTCTGCAGTGTGCCATCCATGGCCTCGCAGGCCGCACAGACCGACGGACCACTTCCCGGCAGTAGAAGTGAGCAAGCGAGAGTGCGTATGCACCGACCAGGTACCCACGATTTCTCCAGTTCTGCAACACAGTCTCCATCTTCATCTTCGAAATCCCCGCCCTCGTAACGCTCCTCGATCCATTTTTCATACTTGGCGTAGCTGCAGCCATCGCAGACCACTGCATTCTCAACAATTGACATGGCCATTTTAAGATTATCCATACTGTTCAGCAACTCTGGGGCCTCTGGGACCACATTCTTCAGGTCAGTGAACGCATCCCTCACCTGGACTTTGTGTGACAATTGTTCTCCGTCCACAAGCACAGTACATCGCGGAAACCGGTACCATCCAGGTCCGTAGTTATACAGTGCCAGACCCTCGCCTTTTTTAACTGCTCTCCAGAATTGCACCCCGCCTCGTGACCTGCATGAAAAGATAGAATACCTTAAATTATCAACAAAGGCAAAAAGGAAGGGTAAAATGCTACGACTTATGACTACTTGTAACTGTCCACCAAAGTAACCAGATCATATACATGTCAGCGAGAGCGACAACACGGCACAGAACTGACAGGGAGTACCGGGACATTCAGTGGCCTGACACCTAGCTCCAATACTTCTCCAAGGCGCAAACCAACAGGTTCGGAAAAGTCCAAGAAGGGAAGGAAAGCGCAACGAAGATGAACATGAGCTATGGCCCACAGCAACAAAGAATGCTGAGAGTTACTAGATGATGATGATGAAACTAGTAAGACAAACCTAACCTCCTAACCTAACCCGAGCCTTCCAAGTTTTCATTTTCACACTATTTATTGATGCTCGAAAAATAATACAGTGAAACCTGTGTTGGCGACTACTCGGATAAGACTACTCGGATAAGACTACTCGGATAAGACTACTCGGATAAGACTACTCGGATAAGACTACTCGGATAAGACTACTCGGATAAGACTACTCGGATAAGACTACTCGGATAAGACTACTCGGATAAGACTACTCGCATAAGACTACTCGCATAAGACTACTCGCATAAGACTACTCGGATAAGACTACTCGGATAAGACTACTCGGATAAGACTACTCGGATAAGACTACTCGGATAAGACTACTCGGATAAGACTACTCGGATAAGACTACTCGGATAAGACTACTCGGATAAGACTACTCGGATAAGACTACTCGGATAAGACTACTCGGATAAGACTACTCGGATAAGACTACTCGGATAAGACTACTCGGATAAGACTACTCGGATAAGACTACTCGGATAAGACTACTCGGATAAGACTACTCGGATAAGACTACTCGGATAAGACTACTCGGATAAGACTACTCGGATAAGACTACTCGGATAAGACTACTCGGATAAGACTACTCGGATAAGACTACTCGGATAAGGCGACCATCTGTCCTAGAAGACCACTCAAACCAGGACCAAGGGACGCTATTTCCACCTTTTTTTTCTTTTTTCAGTCAAATGACCCTGCATAAGGAGACCATCTGTTAACAGAGACCACATTTTTCGAAGGTCCCTTGAGCGGTCGTCTTTGACAGCTGTTTCACTGTAGATGTGTTCACATTATGTCCAGAATCTAATTGAGTGTGTAACAGGTTCTTACTTGTTAACATGATCAGAGATCTCCACCAGGCCAAAGTTGCATTCAGTTGAGTTGACAGGCGTGGTTAAACCTGCTCGCCATTGGTTTACGGCCGCTGTGGCAGCTGCTTGGACGGCGCTGATGGACTCCCAGTCCACATCAGCCGGCTCTTTAGATGCCTTGGAGAATATAGCGTGGCACTCACTTTCCAATCCTCTTACATGTGCACAGAATCGTGCTGTCCTGGCCCTACCATGATATTTTCCAAGCTGTCCCTTTCCAAACTTTGCTCGGCTAAAATAGTTGTGCAGTTGCATGCTGGTAACTTGCTGGTCGGCTGGCAGGAAGATGTTCGCGAGCGTTTCACCCGATTTATACAGCGCATGGGCTGCAGGACGTGGCTTTGAGTAGCCCGCCCCGTCGATGAACCTCAGAATGGCATAGGTAATAAACTCCCTGGGCATTGGCTGTTTGCTCATGCCCCACGACCCTAGACTTGGAGACCGAGTCGCTGGTGTCTCTTCGTGCACCTGCTCGGCGCCTCGAACTTCAGCAGTCTTCAAGTCTAGACACAACAACAGAAACGAATTTGCAGGACTGAATTGTGCGGACAAGATGGTAAAATAACTCCTGTGGCTGTTTTTCACTTACAGTCCATTCATAAAAAAATGGGTCCTGGCTCTGGCGAGCTCCCGTATTTGGCGATTTTTTGTGATTTCATCGTACACAGTGCAGTGCTGCGAACTTTGAAATTTGAAAAAGGGTCCAAAAAGGGTGCCTGAACTGGGGTTCGAACCGCAGAATGCACTGTTGCAGGCGGGGGTCAAACGGCCTGGATTTTGATGGTTTTTCCCAATTCAGTGCTTTTGGGGCAAAACCTGGCCGAAATCCTATTCTTGCTATGGCTTGCTTTTTGGACAAAAAAACTTCAGAAACATAATTGGAAGAGGATTCCATATGGGATTGCAGAAAAAAATTCTAAAAAAACTCAACGTTTGACCCATTTATGGCCAAAAGCTAGAAGTTCATTTTTTTCTGAATGGACTGTAGCAGTTAGCACATAGTACTAGTGAAAGTGCATGATGGTCTTGCTTCGTGAAATTGTTATCTTTTCTAGGCTACAGTAAACAGGAATAGTGAGAGAACGATAATGCAAAGTGCTTCCAGTAGAATTATTGGGATGGTCTTATGTTTTTAATGATGGCGAGTAATAAAATTAGTTGTGCTGTCATTGTCTGGAAAAGTGTCGGAGGCTGTGTACATCCGTAAATTAAAACCTGATTTGTGTAAACAAAAAGACAGCGTTGCCACCCTTACACCTTTCCTTGATTTCCCGTGTGTCCTCTTGTCGTTGGTTTCTATTATCTTGTTTCTGGAGTCTTTCTTTCCATCGCTTTTTCTTCTTGCATGTACTTCTCCTTTCTTTTTTACATTGTTTTCGCATCGTCTCCATCGCTTGGCATTGTTTAATAAAGTAATCCAATGTCACGTCAGCTCGTCCTCCTTATTGCAATATTACATTTTTTCTATTTGTCACACATTTACTACACTGTAATATTTTAAGAGAGGTTCTGCGAGAAACATAGAGAAATCACGTAGAGAGCAGGTGTTTGGGTTCGAGTCAACGGCTTCGCGTGCTTTTGGGTCCAGATTTCTACGCGGAGATGAGATTCTCCACGTTGTGGCGCACGCAAAGAAAATGCGTACGGATCTGCTGGGTATCATTCAAATGCAAATGCAAGCAGAAAACTGACAAATATGGAAGGGGAATTTCCCAGTACACAGCACAACTACTAGTAATTTTATTAAAATCACCATCGTTAATTAAACTATTGTCTCCACGGCGTTTATGGTCTCATGTATTGAAGCATATTGAGTATGAGGCATGCAGCTGCTCTCAATGAGTCTCTTCACGGCGCTATGAGTTGCCATAGAATCACATGCCCCGATGGTCTCATTGCCATTGTGCTACTGGTGGTTGTATACAAGCACGCTTACCTGTGCCCAAGCGCATGGATGCCTGGCTCGGGCCGGTGGCGTACCCGTTTAGATCTTAGTCAGTACGGTGCACACTCAGTGCTCACTTTGGGTTGTGCCTACTGTTCTCCTGCGTATACATGATGTGCTCATTGCTGTTCTTCGCCCTGCTGTACCTGACACCGACTCCACTCCACTCTGTTGTGTCTGGCACTGACCCTGCTGTACCTGACACCGACTCCACTCCACTCTGTTGTGTCTGGCACTGACCCTGCTGTACCTGACACCGACTCCACTCCAGTCTGTTGTGTCTGGCACTGACCCTGCTGTACCTGACACCGACTCCACTCCACTCTGTTGTGTCTGGCACTGACCCTGCTGTACCTGACACTGACTCCACTCCAGTCTGTTGTGTCTGGCACTGACCCTGCTGTACCTGACACCGACTCCACTCCACTCTGTTGTGTCTGGCACTGACCCTGCTGTACCTGACACCGACTCCACTCCACTCTGTTGTGTCTGGCACTGACCCTGCTGTACCTGACACCGACTCCACTCCAGTCTGTTGTGTCTGGCACTGACCCTGCTGTACCTGACACCGACTCCACTCCAGTCTGTTGTGTCTGGCACTGACCCTGCTGTACCTGACACCGACTCCACTCCACTCTGTTGTGTCTGGCACTGACCCTGCTGTACCTGACACCGACTCCACTCCACTCTGTTGTGTCTGGCACTGACCCTGCTGTACCTGACACCGACTCCACTCCACTCTGTTGTGTCTGGCACTGACCCTGCTGTACCTGACACCGACTCCACTCCAGTCTGTTGTGTCTGGCACTGACCCTGCTGTACCTGACACCGACTCCACTCCAGTCTGTTGTGTCTGGCACTGACCCTGCTGTACCTGACACCGACTCCACTCCACTCTGTTGTGTCTGGCACTGACCCTGCTGTACCTGACACCGACTCCACTCCACTCTGTTGTGTCTGTTGTGTCTGTTGTGTCTGCTTGCACTGACCCTGTGACCGGTGTGCTTTAAAAGTGTGCGGAGACAAAAGAAGTTCTTCCTCGCTCAAGTAACAGCAATGGTGCCTTCGAGTTTTCTGTTGCGTTGGTCTTTTGCCTGCGAGGGGTAAAGGGCTAGCGGGCTTGGGAAAAAGTCATTCGCGGCCTCCACGCCACGTACATGTACGTTATAACCAGGCAGCTACTGCACTTGTCCTATCCTGTATCATGTTATCCTTTCACCCATTCATGTCATAGTCCTTCCCCTGTCTGTCGCCATGTATGGAAGGTACTTCTCAGATTTGGTCCGCCAAGCTACAGCCATACTATACTAGCACGTGTGGGTTCAGCACCACCTGGATATGGGTGATTCGATTGCCGCATTCATTGTGCCTTAGCCCGATAATACTTTAATAGCCCTATCGTTTTCTAACGTGCCTTCCAGTTCATGAAGCCTTGTTCAACTTGTGACGGCTATCCTGCGCTGCAGCCGTTGTTCAGTACTTTTTGCTAATATCCAGTGTACCATATTTCCCCGATTGTAAGTCGCACTCCTATTTCCAGGTCTGTCATTATCGTTTCGGTACATTCACTTCAGAGGAAACTGTTTACTTATGAGTATTACATTCACTTCAGTAATAGATCATGCTTAATTGTAAGTCGCACCCCTTTGTTGGCCCTGAAGTTGAGTGTAAAAAGGTGCGCCTTTAATATATTCGGTGAAATACGGTATGTAATCTATGTAAAACTTCTTACCTTGTGAACATTCGACCAACGTTCGGTTGGCATCGCACAAGACCTTCTGGGGTGGCCCCTCCTGGCTCTCAATACTGCGTTCACTGTATAAAATAATTTTTCAAAATATGATAGAGAAATTTGAATTCGAACTTTGGGCGATTATGTAACTTCATATGCAGCTCCCATATGTCACACATGCATGCAATGCAGCATACATGCAGAATGTTGCTCACTGTCACACAAAAAATACTACTAGTACAATCATGTAGTACATCAAGAGTACAATCATGTACATAACCTCTGGGGGTTATGTACTCTTTGAGTACAAATAGTAGCTTGATGAGGGTCCTCAAGAAAGACCACATATTGACATCATGTCATTGCTCTTCCAATTCCAGCTTCAAGTTCAAGTTAAGTTGAGAATAAAATAATTATAAAATGAAAACGTACCTCATGTTGGATAGTGACTCGGGGAAATGTGCAACACCAGAGCAAAGGTACCAAGCTAAAAGACAAATCTCTGAAATAACCTCCACGTCAACAATTATGACCACGAGCTGCTCGAGAGACCAATGGAGTCTGGCCACTGGCACGCACGTCGTGACGATGGGCACCTGTACACGGTTCTAAAAAAGAATGAAGATGCCAGAGGACGCTTCCCACTGAAACACTTCATTTGAAGTTCCCGGGCACATCTTGAGCGTGAACGATACGTGGATAATCACGTGCATGACATCAAATCAAGAGATTCTAATCTTTGTATATAAATTATTGTAGTACTGTACATGACTAGTCGACTGCACTGTACGTAGATCTACATCTTTCACGTACACCTGGTACACGTTCACTGTTCATTTTTCAAACTAAAACTGAAAACGATAAAAGGTGAACGAAAGAAACTCTGAGCCCAGTTCTAGAATTCTGTGTACCCGGTTCACTCATCAACAAAGCCTGCATTGCATGCAGCTATGGTCATTAGTATCGTAACAGAAATGTAACTGTTGAATCAGTCCATCACCTCAGCAATGGATGCTGGAGATTCGTCAGAAAAGAAACCGTTGAGAGTCAAAAATCTCAACATTTCTAACAAATTAATGCAAGATAAACGCCAATCGCTGAATCCATGTGAAAAGGTGAGTACTGAACAGCAATGAGAAAGATAATGTGCGCACTCATATCAGAACATGGCAACCAAAGGTGTGTTCCAGCACGTTTTCTCATCTCAGTTTTCAATGGAATCTTGTGGCTAAAGAGAAAAGGGAAAGCAATAGCAAGAGTAAATACCAGAGTGTGCAGCTCTGGGAGAATCATCCCGCGGTGAAGATTTTTGTTTTATAAATTGGTCATGGTGACTCACATAGTGACTCGCCTAGTGGAACACACTTTGGTTGCCATGTTTGTGAGTGTGCGTATTTACCAAGAGTAGAAAAACAAGAGTGTGCAACTCCGGATGGGTTGGCCTGTGGCGGAATTTTTTTGTTGACTTCATATTTTCTGGAAATCATGAGTCATACCGTACGACGCACGCGCTGCAAGTCTTTTGGGAAGACACACGTCATGTTTTCTGAAAAGGTGACGTCAACAAAAAATTCCGCCGTGGGCCAGGGTATTTGCAGATTTGCAGAAGAGATGCGGAGTTGCACACTCTTGTTTATCTACTCTTGAACATGAATTTCAGGCAGTTGACAAGGAGATAAGATGTGAAGGCCCGTTGGTAAATAATGATGCATGTACTCAGTGTCTGCTCCAGAGCCGGGTGAGCCGGGTAATCGACCCGGTTGGGCGGCGCTTGGACCCGGTTGAAAATATAGTACCGGGTCACCTGTGACCCGGTTGGTACTTTACACGTTCGAACTTTGAAAGGACTGACTACATGGCTTGTATGTGTGACAGATCATGCAGAGGCGCGCGTCGAATACATGTGTACCCGGCTCCGACCCGGTTGAAATGGTTGCGCCAGGTACACGTGTACCCGGCTGTCCTACAATCCTAGAGCAGACACTGGTACTAGCGTTATATCTTTTAAAAGGAACATAATTCCTTGGGAGGGGTGGGTAATTGAATCGACTAATATTTTATTTATTTATTTATTTATTACAGCATCTCATAGCACAGTGAGAACACCGGCCAATACAAAGAGAGAGGGTGTTAGCCAACCACGGCAAGGAAGGGAGAAGGGGAGGAGAAGAAAAAGGAACCGGCATGGATAAGCAGTGATTGCAACAAAATGAGAAACGCAAAATCAAAGTCAAGGCGCGACAAGGCTCTTAAAAAGGTGGAGGGAAGAAAGGTCCTTAGCTTCTTGGGGAAGTGCCAGCCACGCAGAGTACGCAGTGAAAAAGGGAGAGTGAAGTAGAAAGGAGGACTGAGGTTTCGGAAGGGAAAGGGAGTTTCTCGTGCTACGGGAAGAGAACCAGTTGAAACAGTGGAGGTGAGGTGGACACAGATTGAGTTTGAGAGAACGGATAAGGGTGACAAGATGTGAATTACGTCTCTTAGACAAAGGGGTAGTGTCAGCAAGGGTATACACTTAGGATGGAAGCATGCGGGGTTTTCGGAGGAGGATTTTGAGAACTTTTTTGTGGTGAATTTCGAGCTTGGCAGCACGGGTTGTGGACATTCCAGCCCAAGCAGTATCTGCATAATCAAAAATGGGGCGTAGGTAAGCTGAGTAAAAGAGGAGTTTACAAGAGATTGGGAGATGGTAACAGTGAGAAGAGAGGACTCCTAAAGATGAACTTGATCGTTTACATATGTAATCGATGTGGGGTTCCCATGAAAGATTAGAGTCAATGAAAATGCCAAGATGCTTATGGCTTGAGACTATGTCTAGAGGCTGGGGGAAAGTGGGATGGAGGAGGGGCGGAACATCGGGCTGAGAAGGAAAGAGCATGATTGGGCGATAACCGCCAAGACGACATCCAGGAAATTACTCTTTGAATCCCGTTAGCTAGGTTACTCATCAGGCCAGTGATGTTAGGAGATGCCCGTAGGAGCATTGTGTCGTCTGCGAACAGTGATGTGCCCGGGGCAGCTGCAGGCAGATCATTGACGTAAAAAATAAAAAGAAGGGGGCCGAGGATGGCACCCTGGGGAACTCCGGATAGTGCTGTTGTGTCGGCCGAGGACGTCCCATGTACCGTGACGTACTGCGTTCGCCCAGTTAGGCGAGATGTCAGCCATAGCAGGGGATTGCCGTCTACAGTAAATGATCCACGAAGCTTGGCCAAAAGTCCCCGGTGCCAGACGGTATCGAAGGCCTTGGCAAGATCGAAAAAACAGATCCCGACTAGATCTCCAGCATCCCGATGTCGACACACTAATTGCACCAGGCGCGTCAGCTGGAGGGTGGTAGAATCGCCTCTGCGAAATCCGGACTGAGCTGAACTCAAACGTGACGAGACATGACAGTACAATTGGTCGTAGAAAACGCGCTCACAGAGTTTGGAAACACAGGACAGTAGAGATATCGGACGGTAGTTTGATGCTTCGTGGCGAGACCCTTTCTTGTAGGTCGGTATTACATTAGCTGTTTTCCATGCAGAGGGAAAACGACCAGTGCGGAATGATAGGTTGGAAATCAGACATAAGGAGTATGCTATTGAGGGCGCAAGGGACTTTAATACCAGATTAGTGATGCCGTCTGGGCCCGGCGCCTTGTCAGACGGGAGCTTTCGAATGTAACGTCGGATGGCAGCAGTCGTAGTAAAGACAGATGTGAGGCGGTCAACCTCACCCGACTCCTCGGCAATGGGGGGAATGGGTAGAGAAGGGTCATCAGGCACGGCCACTGAGGTGAACTGAGAGTTCAATGCAGTGGCTTTAGCTGAAGAGGTAGTAGCCTGCTGCGTAGAACTAATGGTGAGTGTCGGGATGTCACGAGATACTTTATGATTTTTTAATTTGTTCACGAACTGAAACAGTGATGGGCGGTTTTTGTCCTGCAGCGTAGCTTGTACGGACCGAATGTATCCCCGGTATTTCGATCGAGTCAGACTCTTCACCAAGTTCCGTTGAGATCGATATACATGCATGTTAAGCTGGGTTGGGTATTTCTTACACACACTGTAGAAATCGTGCTTTGCCTTAATGGCGGCACGGAGGGGGGCATCAACCCAAGGTGGCTGACCTAAACGTCGGCATGAGGGGGAGAGTGGACGCCGGGAGAAGTACCCGAGGTGCTTCTCCATGGCCCTGCTAAGAATAGAGTGGAAAGACGAAAGAGCGTCATCCACGTGCGAGCTGCGGAGGTGACATTTCCAGTGGACATCAGCATTCAGGTCACCCCATACGCAACGTGGCACCAACTTGAAATTGTAACCTGGGGGTGTAGGGGTAGATGTTGGGAGGAAGTGATGTTGTAGGGTTGGATTTTGGACGTGACAGGGAGACAGACTCGACAGATGAGCTGCACGTGGTCAGAGCTACCCAGTGGAGCGGCTGAATCAACGGAGAGGAACTGCTGGGGTGAATTTGTGACGATGAGGTCCAAGCAAGATGACCGGCCACTTGGGCTCCAGTGCGTAGGGAAGTTGACCAGTTGCTCTAATCCGAAGCACCTGAAGGCGGTTTCAAGGCACTGACCCACCGGGGTTGTATCACCAGCCAACCAGCTCGAGTTATGGGCATTGAAGTCACCGGTGAGGAGTAGTGTGGATACAGATAGATTAAGTGACAGAAGGCAGTCTTCCAGATCATCAGAATAGGCCTGGATATCCGCCAGGGTACCACCAGGAGGTCGGTAGGTGGCGCAGACGATGAGTGGACGTTGGGGTGAGTTGGCTGTGCGAAGCTCAAGCCAGATGGCCTCCAAGCCCGGTTGCTGAAGATTCGCCAGAGGCTTCACCGATGTAAAGGGGCCATCTTTCACCAGTATGGCTACCCCACCATAACCTCTGGTAGGATTGGCCGATCGAACATTAGAGGTGGGACGATCCCGTCGATGAACTGTGTAGCCTGCCAATGAGAAGAGGTTGGCAGGGGACAACCATGTTTCACACAAACATATAACCTCCGGAGAGTAGATGTTGCACATAACAGTGAGTTCCGCTACTTTGTTGACCACTGAGCGGCAGTTGAGGGAAAGGATGGTAAGGGCAGTATGGATGGGAGGATAAAAGGGACGGGCCAGTGGATTCAGTGTTCCAGTAGTGTTGGGGAAGACAAGGTTACTTATAAAATCATGCTGCATGGGTTCCACAGCGGGGCAAAAATGTGGTGGCTGAGAGAGAGTGGGTGAAGTCGTAGTTAGTTGTAGGAGGTAGCAATGCGGTCAGATGCGAATCGCCATTCTCGTACACGCAGGGTTTCTGGCCAAAAGTCGGCAGACATAGATCGTTCAAGGTCGGATTCCGGGAGAACCACGTGGGCAAAAGCCAGTCCGAAGTACTTCGTTTCCGAAACTGAACATTTTATTACGGAGACTCCCCTGTCGCTACACCACTTCTCAATGCTCTCCGCAGAACATCCAGGGTGGACGTTTCCCACATAAAGGGCTTTGCATTTTGTTCTGGATGCCGCTCGTAGGGTTGCTGATTATTTTGGTGGGCGCTGATAGTAGGATGTGACGGCACTCACGGCAGTCTTAGATCCGGAGGAGTGTGCTGTGGATCGTGTCGTTGACGTGGGTACTGTGACATGTGACGTGACCTGAGTGCCTGGGTGACTTTGGTATCGCGTAGTGCGACTCGTACTGGGGCGTCCCCGTACGTTGTCCCGATCACGTACCTGTGGCCATGGTGACGACTGTACTGCCGCACTGTACGTCCCGACGCTGTCAGCAGCAGGCGGTGGAACTTCAACCTCTAGTAAGGGGACTCTGTTCTCCTCTGCAGCCTTTATCTCCCGCCCCCGGTCGTCTCTCAGCGCTGCCAACTCGTCACTGATGCTAGCGACAATCCGCATCATCTCATCCAAACGCTCAACGACCCCAGCAGCTGATGAGTGCAACACACCCACACCAGCCTCGCGAAGTTTCCCAACCACCTCCGCGCGAGCCATACTGTCCAGGCCATCAATGCTATGCCGCCGAGCTAAACCTCGCAGTTCCTCGAAAGTGAGAATGGCCAAGTCTACGACGTCACCCAGGCTCATCCTGCACCAGATTACCGCAGACACGGCCGCAGCAAGTCTCGAAAATAGCGTCGTAAAGACAAGCCAGCAGTGTGAACAGAGGCGCGAGCACTCCACTCCAGCGCGTGATCCAGCGCGTGATGCAGCGATGTAGCGATGTAGGTAATCCAGTTAAACGCAACGTACAACCCAGCCCTAGCGCTAAGGATTAGACCAGACTTGGACCAGGATTTCATCCAATGGCAGGACACTGCCAACTCAGCCAACCTGAAGATATAACAGCAGCCCCAGCCAGCTCCAGACCAAACAGCAACCAAGCAATTCAGCAGCCAAGCAAGCTTCTTGCTCCAACCAGAGCATCCAAAAGTCCAACCAGCACCTAGATCAACGTGAGAAAAACAAACAAAAAACAAAGTGTTGTTCACTGTCTTGAGTTGGTGGAGCTTGCAGTGGCGCACCTGTATACAGGTGTATACAGTACGTACCAGTTATAGTTTGGTCGTGTAAAAGACTATCCTGCCTACAAGAATGAACTCTCATATTTTCATAATCAGAACATGGGTCTAGGTATGTTTAGCTGTGCTAAGCCCTGCCGCAAAGCCCCATCCCGTGGATTCAAGAACAGGCCGCCTGATCACTTGTGTTTTGTGTCTATTTGTACATGTATTTTGTGTTGCTGCATATGCTGTGTGTAGTACTTACGGGCCTCGCTAGAGTGCCAACTGAATAGGGGTCGGGCAGCGATTGAGTGTCGTGACTTCCACTTCCTTGCCAAGGAATGCCAAGGACGACTAGTAAGTACCTTGTCCATATATGGCACTGTTCTGTGTGTACATTGTGATATCTTATATTTATATGGCAAATAAATGAATACATTGTATTTATTTATTTGACCCAATCCTAGAGCAGGTGCGAATGTTAGAATACACGGAGCATTCCAAGAGATGAGGGTCTTGAATAGGGTATCCAGCTTGTCAGAGAAGCATCAACAAGAAATCAGGCGACTAGAATTTCAATAAAATTCTCTTGGAGGGAAATAGCTGTTCTTGGAGATTGTACTTGTTGCGTCGCTCTATATTAAAAATGAATCATCAGGAAACTCTGTAACGTTATGCAAGTATGTGTCTACGTTGAGAGATGTGTGAAAGGTTTACACATTAGTACCGAGTACTAGTACCACATTTCTGACTCACTGCAACGCCTGGCTCCTCATGCCCTTAGGCAATCATCAGACAACTATTGAAGGTCCATTATGAATTTGCTACTACAGTAGTGCTTTTTGTTTTGTAGAATGATGGTTCAATATCCAAGCTAGCCCGGGTTTGCAACAACAAACCGGAGTCTGAAGTCAGAACACAGTACATTGCATGCTGTCACTGCTGTGTATGCCAGTGTTGAACCTACAGTAGACTGCCCTTGTCGCCCTGCACTGCAATTACCTTTGAAAGTTGAAAGCACAATATGTTGCACCGTTTTGTTGCATGATGACTGTGTTGCTTGTGCTTGCCTGTTGTTATAGCAAGAGGAAATGCTGAAGGCAGGCAAAGAAAGGCGACCGGTTCACTTCGACCCAGACTTGGAAATACCGCCAGTGCCTCCTGCCAAGTATGACTTCTTCAAGTGATCTATATTTTGCCTTTGGGCAATGTGCATCCTAACATGTTCTGTTGCATGGCTTGTAGAAATTGATGCATTTCCGAAATTCCGTTCTGTACATAGTACTACTTGTACATATAGGGTTTGGTCCTCCATACCAGGCGCCTACTTCTTACTCAAGATCTAGAATGCGAGTCACTGACTGCAATGGAAATGTGCATGACGGTGTGCCGTTTTCCTCAGAGGAATTTTTGCTTTTGCTATTTCTTGCTGCTCTTCCTACCTCTTTTTTACTTGCGTACATGGGTGTTGTAGGGTAGCGCCAATATCTGTACATAGCCATGCTGTTGCTGCTGCTGCTACCCCGATAGTTCGTAGATGTCCTGCATTGCCCACAAATATGTCTGACCAATTACCAACAGATACTGCATATACCGCGGTACATGTATAGTAGATGACATCCGTAATGTATTCAGAGCTTTGGTAGGCTTGTATATACATTGAAACAAATCTTGAAATTGTTCTTGCTTGATGCCGACTTTAGTGCTACTTTGAAGTAGATTGCAGTACAACTAGTGCCTTGTCTCATTACCCAGTGCTCTGTTGATTGTGTTACTTTACACTTGACAGTGTTGTCTTGTTGATAACAACAGAGTGGGTGGGGCATATACTAGTGTACTAAGTCGATATCACATTGGCAGAGCTAGGACTGTTCTTCGAACTGGACAAAACGCATGGGGCCCAATAAAATTTGTATCTGCTACAGTGTACTGTCATTCTGGACAAAGCACATTGTACTCCTGGTCCCAGATTCAAAATCCGAACACTATACCTCCGGACAGGCTCCACTGTACACGCCCGATCCGTTTGAAACCTCCGTAACCACAGCAAGGTGCATATCACATTATCGGACTAAGTTCTAATTCGGTATACACGGCCCCAATACAGTCGTACCTTGCTTAGCCGCACACATCCGTTTCCCACAACAAATATCTGGATAGGCGAGGGAACCGGATGATCGAACACACAATGCTGTATGTATGCATGGCATACGCTGCAAATCGGTTACCAACGATTTTCTTCCGGATGGCGAGGGATGCGAATAAAAGAGGACCGGATAAGCGAGGTCTGACCATACATACATAATGGAGCCCTACACGTGATATTACCACTTGTAGGGCTCCACAGTCACGACTAATGACTGTTGCCCATACACGTGTCACAATAAGTACCTGCCAATGATTGGGGGAAAAACTGACAGACCAAATGTGTTTGTTCTGCCGACGGAGTGCCGTTATATCCAATCTCCACCACACCACCCATGGCCCTACAACGCCAACATACCCACCAAGGAGAAAATGGTAAAACAAGCGTACGCCTTTCGTAAACGCAATAGAAGACAGAGAATCAACAGGTACAAGGCACAGGATGAATTGAGAAAAGAATAGGAAACGGCACACAAAATATGGACGGCACAGACTTACTCTGTACAAAAGGAGAATTAAAACAGGAGGCTGATTTCAGTTGGGCGGTTAAAAACAACGACATGCAGCCGTCGCGATTTGTTACAAAGCTAGATAACGATAGGAGGAGAAAATTATGTACGTATGTCGCTTCCGGCACGGCACGGGCAAAGTCCAGCTGTTATCAAGGTATATGAATGCGCTAATATATAAACAGAATAACATTACACGCGACTAAACAGCTGTACGTCGATGCATATAATAAACTCGTACATCGATCGTGGGAGTAGAGATAAAAATGAAACGGCAGCAGGAAAACTACAACCACAATGTCATGAAGACAGTACAGTGTCATGAGTTGGAATTTTTATTCAACCTACAGGTACATGGACGGAATATCGAGCATGACATCAAAACTCTGAACATGCTGAAAAGGTAAATTATTCTGCGGTGAGCCCCGGTCGGAGCAAATTTTTAAGGTATGATAGGAGTTTCATGATGCGGTTATATGTGAGATACGGTCCCGCGCTGCTATGTCTGATGCTTGGGTGACGTACCTGCTGTCGCGCCAGATTGCGCGTCGAAACGTTCTAGCTCTTCCAGGATGCCACGATACCAAGTGCCGACGTCATAGTCGGACTCCTTATATTTCAGGAAGAACGCGTGCGTCTCCAGCTTCTCATACTTTGGCCGCAAGTCCGGGTTCTTCATCAAGCAGACGCGCGCAAAGTCGATGAAGCAGTCCGTGAATGTGCCGTTATCTGGTAGCTCCGGCGCAGGACCACTTACAACTGCCTTGAGCTGCTCGAACACCGTCTTCCACGGCGGGTAAGGGAACTTACCCAGGGCGAGCTCAATAAGGGTCACACCAAGACTCCACACATCCGAGCGCACATCATACTCGCGATCTTTCGTCGGATCAATCCTTTCTGGTGCCATGTAAGGCTTGCATCCTGCATCGAGTGTCTTGGCCACAGAATTCACAAGCTGTCCACTGATGCCGAAATCGCAGAGCTTGATACTTCCCGTCTTGTCTATCAAAATATTGCTTGGTTTCACATCACGATGAATGACATCCAGCTCATTCTTCAGGTACTCAAGTGCTGAAACGACAGAGAATGCCACCTTACCCACTGCATCTTCCGGAATCACTTTGTCCAGATTCGCCCGCATGCTCTTATACAGAACGTCCAGCGAATGGTTCATCTTCTCCATACAAATCCACACGTCGCCGTCTCGAAATAATGCACCATAAAAGAATATTGTGTAGGGACATTTCGCTGCTTTTTTCGAAATGTCTAAGTCCATCAGAAGTCGTTTTTCCTCTTTGCTGTCCACTGTACAGCGAATTCGTTTCACAGCCATTGTATGGTTGGAGGCATTGTGGTGCATCTCATACACAGCACCATAGGTACCACGTCCGAGTTCCTTCACTTCGATTAAATCGTCTGCTCTCACTTCTACTTCTCCTCCATCTTCAAATTTCAACATTCCGACTGAATCAAGATCTCGTGGTGGCTTCACCTCCTGCCGTTTGGGCTGGACAATTGGGGCTAAGCCAGGTCCCTTGCCCTTGAACTTTAATTTATGTTCCGCCATGGCGAGCAGGACAACAAAGTAACCTGGCAAGTAAATTAGGAAACTCACCAGGACATCAATTTTTTCAATCTAAAAATTTTCAGTCAAGAGAACCAAAACGTATGAACGACGATTTTCACGATCTTTTTCTTTGCTGTTTTCCGGGCGCGTGCTACTGCTAGCATGCTAGCTGGACTATGCTAGCGCTAGCGAGCGCACAGGCTAGCACTTATCCCACTTCCCAGGCCCAACTCGCTTTCAAGAAGGCAGCGCATGCGCAAAGTAATGTCGATTTTGCGGACCAACAAAAACCGCACTGCATGCAATCAAGAGTACATAACCCTTGCAAGGGTTATGTACCCTAACAGTCTAAGTAATAAAATATTAGTTGATGCATGCAATGCTGAGCTCCTCGACGTGACCAGGTGACTCGAGGCTTCATGAGTGACATGACCATGATGACTGACAGACTGTCGATATGTCGACTGTACTTTGTAGCTATCACACGATCGTAGATCTACGATCGATGACGATGGATCCTCCTTGACCCGGCGATCAATGAAGGCGACTCGACTGTCGCCTCAGCCGTCACAAGTTTACCATAGTAGCAAGAGTTCATGGCCATATGGGGGTTATGAACTCTTGATAGTAGGGCCGGGAGGTTCTGCTCTACGTTTTGGGAACGCGACGCAAAGAATCACGCAAACTCTCTTCGCGTTCCCGTAACGTAAAGAAATCCTGTTCTGCTGGCTACGCTTCACCTAGAGAAGTCACGTGGAATGTGTATTGGGAATTTCCCCTTCCATATTTGGCAGTTTTCTGCATGCAGTTGATCGATACATGTACCCAGCAAATCCGTACGCATTTTCTCTGCGTGTGCCACAACGTAGAGAACCTCATCTCCGCGTAGAAATCTGGAGCCAAAACACCCGAAGCCGTAGACTCTAACCCAGACACCTGCTCTCTACGTGATTTCTCTACGTTTCACGTTAACTCGTGGTTTGGCTCCAGATTTCTACGCGGAGATGAGGTTCTCTACGTTGTGGCACACGCAGAGAAAATGCGTACGGATTTGCTGGGTATCGAATACTATCGATCAACTGCATGCAGAACAACTGCCAAATATGGAAGGGGAAATTCCCAGTACACATTCCACGTGACTTCTCTACGTGAAGCGTAGAGCAGAACAGGACTTCTTTACGTTACGGGAACGCGAAGAGAGTTCGCGTGATTCTTTGCGTCGCGTTCCCGAAACGTAGAGCAGAACCTCCCTTATTACAAAACACTGTACTCGTACTGAGGAGTCGTCATCCGAGTACCGAATATCGTGGCGCGCGGTGGGTGGGTGGGTGCTAGCTCCTCCCTATCTTCCTACTCGTACTCCTAGCGCCGCTAGCCATGGACTCTTGACTCGGTCTTGACTCTTGAATGAAGAATCTTGATCCTCGCCTGGGCCTAGCCCCTTTGCTAAGGCCTTTTTCTACCGACATGCTGTACATGTACCGGCGCAACGGAACTTACCATGTCATTGTTGTTAGCCAAGAGCACATAACCCCTGGGGGGGGGGGGGGGGGGGGGGGTTAGGGGCACACCTTGGCAGTTCATGCTCTCTCTCGCTCTCTCCCTCCCCCACCCACTCTTGGTGCGTCTAGGTGGCCATGAAGTCGAGACCCTAGGTCGGCGGAGCTCCCTAAACCTCACCACCACTGCCACAATTCAGGTTGTGCGTGCTTCCCCTAGCTGCATCTCATGTTTGGCATTTAAGTGGTCTTTGTAAAAAAAATGTCATGTTGAACAGGAAGAGCGGGCCCTGGCCAGGCTGGTCATGTCAAGCCACACAAAGAAACATTTTTGGGTAGATACAGTCAACTTCGTTTATAACGATATTCGGCGGGGCATCAAAAAAGTGTCCTTATTCGCGAAGTGTCGTTTTACCCGAAGTCTCATTATATGTATCACAGTTGGATGGAACTTTGCTCTGGGCATGGACATTCTGTCGTTATTCGCGAATTGTCGTTATATCCGCAGTCGTTATTAGCGAAGTTGACTGTACAACCCATTATGAGAGTTGCATGCACGTGCATACACACCTCTTACTGGCTTTAGACGCCTTGGCCATGGCTCCTGAATATACTGTACATATAAAAAATATCCAAAAAATACACAAACGATTATACTATGCATGCATGATCATGCAAGAAGATACTGTCCCTCCGAGGCTTGGGTAGTTATGGCATGTTCTGTACTATGTCAGATTGTCTTCAAAGCTACTTGCGGAAACATAGAGTAATGCGGTACATCGATATACATGATACACACACCAATTACGGTGGAGCGGTGGCTCCACGCCATGCAGACATGCACGATCTCGTCATGCATGGGAAGTGCACCAAACACATCATCACAGCTATGCGGATACTAGTAGTGTAGACACACAGACGCTTGCACACGCGTAACAGTGCCGTCCGAGTCAAACTCACACTGCATCCACAAGACCAGGCCGAAGGCATGCAGAAAGACACAATAAGGGTGATTGCGTACGCGGTCTATAGAGAGAAGCTGTGTTCAGTCAGTGAAAGGGCACTAAAACCAGTATAATACAGGACACAAAGTTATAGTAACTGTTGTAGATCATAGGGGACATACTCAGTTGGGCACACAACAGTCTAGGTCTAAGGATACAAGCACAGAACGGAGCTACAGGATAGGATACCACTACAGGAAGTACTACTACCACTAGTAATGCTAATGATGAGGATGATGATGAGGAGGAGGATGTGTGGGTATGATGAGTTCCAAAGCAACAGTATACTTTATGATTGCAAAACTGCCGGCGAGAGTTCTTGACGGACTCCGCTGACGAATGCGCAAATGAAATGCTAGACACGTAATGTAGCATTGCTGCTACTGCTCATAGCAGGAGTACATAAGCTTGTAGCCGATAGCAGAGGTATAAGCTTGCTCTGTACTCGTGCTAATGCTAGATATATGATATGTGATACTATGTGATAATGGTACGAGCACGAGCACGGCAAGCCTAGAATGCATGCCGGAAACGCCACACGTTCTCGTGAGGATGAGCAGCCGAAGCTGAAAGGAGGCAGTGAAGCCGGGTATAAGTATGCAGCATGCTAGGTGCATGCACATGGGGGTATTGGCACATACACTGCGTATCGAGCGAATAGTGGCGTAATTTGATGAGAATATATGGCAGTCGGTGCTGGATAATACTGAAGTGATGAAGCAATGTGCTTGAAATGGCCTGTAAAGCGAACAGCGCCTTCTTGTAAGAAGTGGCGTCCATGATTGTTCGGGTTATTTCTTTTTTATCAAGATCTATTGCAATTGTCTCCAGTCCGAGGAGAATAGCAGACTGATAGGTGAAAAGGTAGGCAGGAAGTTGGCAGCTATGTACATAGTTCGGCAGGTCTAAGAAGGCCTGAGATATCGGCGTGGCAGTGGTCCGTTCCTGTAGCATAGCATAGCACATCACACGGCGTGTTATCCGGATCAGAGTGAAACATTCTGTATAGATCCCGGCAGGAGTATACTGGTGCACGGCCACATGTCACTGGCGTAGTCAGACTGAGCCAAGTCTCCATTCAGAAGGACTGTTTTGCACAAGTCTCTAGCATACATTGTACTCCTAAAGCATACCCTGGACGACGCATTCCTTAACCCTTTGTGGACGGACTGTACGAGTTTCGATCTAATAAGATCGAAACTTCGTAACTTCTTAACTCCATCGTTTCTTGAGGAAATTCCACAATCGAAGGGTCTACGTGGTAGCGGGAACTCCAAGCTGTCCAATGCAACAATCGCCGAAGAGTTACAATGTCGGACGCCAGAGATATCGCACGCCGTATTCTTACCTCGGCAAATTCAAATTTTTGATCGATCATTTCGCCATTTGGGGGGAAAATCCCTTTTCGTGTGCTCTTTGAGCAACTGAGCACATGATAATGACGTAGCCGGCTGAAGTTTGAATCGTCTCAAACAGATTTGAGCGTTCTGCGATGAAGGAGAGTGGAATGGCGTTGATGGGACGAATTTGCTTGCATATCAGGCTTGGAGATGACTTTGCTGTGTTACATCGCCTGATTTGTGGCGGCCGGATAATGGAGATTGGTACCCTGACGTAGCTCTCGCCAAGAGCTTTCCAATGAGCCCTTGATTGTGAAAATCAAGTGAAGGACACCAAAGTTATGACATGGAAAAGTTGAAAATTGTACTGACATTTTGTAATTCTGGTGCATACTGTGCTAGAAATCCGTCCATAAAGGGTTAAGCTTATGTTTAACAGCATGCAAATGTTGTACATGTACTTTGACTTTAGTCTGCACCCTGCACCCTCCCATAATGTGCACTTCAGAGTTGACATGCTAACTACATGCACAGAGTGGTGGTGAGTGGGTAAAGTCTCATGGAATCAAAAGCACTGCTGCAGCAGCTGAGTTTTTCATATGGCAGTACTTACTTGCTATGATCCCTGCACTTGAAGGGATGGTTTGCAGTCTGAGATCACGGGCGCTCATCAAAGGCATAGTGCCATGGAGTCGTATAACTTCCAAGTTCTTGTTCATGTATGACACTTCACTGCTCAACCCCAATATCAGTCTCTTTGCTGCGATTTCAAATCAATTTCTACTACACTACTTTATACCGACACGGTTACCATGGTTACAGTACTGCCGGGTGCCGAAGAACCAGCAGGCCACAATTTCATCAACCACAGCATACACGTGACGGTAACTCAACTGTGCATACTGTAAATCAACAAATTGTCGCCGGTGAAAAACTTTCGCCAATCTCCAACAAACACTTTTCGCCGCCATTAAACTTTCGCCGTAGGCGTGCAAGAGTCCAAAAAAGTGATCGATGTTTCGTGTGCGCATATACTAGTAGTACAGTAGTACAAAGGTCCGTGTAGTTTATAGACCCTGTCTACTGTACGCAGTTTTTACAGAGAGTCTGGCAGCATAAGTGTGACCCAAACTGACATTTGGTTCGGGTGACAAATTTTGGCCGGCGATTAATTTTGGCCGATTGACATAGACCGGCGAAATCAGCGAAATTAAATCGCCAGCGAAAATTTGTTGATTTACAGTAGACTGTAAATTCCCTCTTTGTAATACATGAAAATAAGAACGGTCTAGGCTAGGAGATTGACCCCCAGCTCTTCGGTGACCGACAGTACCGTAGGGTATCTTTGTCTACCCCAGCCTACCCCCCCCCCCCCCCCCCCGTCCCATTGGTTGTCATGTCGACGGTGGATTAGAAGGTCCGCTGTGTACCACTCACCAGATGTCAGCATAAGTAGGTGCCGTCAGCATGGTTCTCCTGATTGCCGCTCCGCGACACGGCCGGCCGCACTGACGACTTGACGGGCGTACGTACAGTCGCTGCCATCTGCAGAACACGACCAGGAAACAGCCGAGCACAAATCAGAATCTGCAGTTAAATTTCATGTCCCGCTGGCAGTAGATCAGCTGAACTCGGGCCTTCTTTCCGGCCTAATTGCTACCATACGTGTACCTGCGCGTATGCACGGCCTCGACAGGTAAAAACTATAAAGATAACCTGAGTTTATCATGCCCTGAACGCAGCAAGCCAAGGACCCAACGTGTAGAAATGAGTCTGTCCAAGAAGACCATTGATACCAGGACCAAGGGATGTTATTTTCAGCCAAATGACCCTGGTAACAGAGATCACGTTTTGAAGGTCCCTTGAGCGGTCGTTTTAGACAGCTGTTTCCCTGTACTGACAATACCTCTTAGGATTGGTCACACTTCCATCACATTACTTTACAAAAATGATGTGAAGGTAGCACACAATGCTAAACAAGATCCCAATGGACGGCATCGTACAAAGAGCACATTGTGTACCTTGAACGAGCCCGCTCCTAATCCTGCTGAATTGGCAGCTCCGAGTGGCCTTCGGCCTTGTCCACCTGAAGAAGCATGCGCCGCTGACGATGTTGCCTGGATGTCAAACGGAGGAACACACACACACGTACACACACGTACACACACACGCGTGCGCGCACACACACACACAAACAGTAAATGAACAATCACAACCTCGGATTAGAAGCACTGTTCACATGATTTACAACTTGCAGCTAGAATGTATTACATTGTATGTGTACACAGAGAAACTTCAGGATGAAGTACCCTGGGTATGGCATACTATTGTGGACTACAACATGCTGTACTGACATGTTTTAGCCAACCGAGTTATGGTTGTAGTCAGGGGCACTATGCGTCCTCACCTTGTAACATGCTGTCGACTTCGAAAACATGCAAACCTATCAAGCAAGGTTCTATGCATAACATGCTGTACTGTAGCCTACATTCTACTATACCAGTCATGGGATGTTGAGTATACATGCCTGCACTATACACTATACCAGACTCATTGGATGTTTAGAAGGGAGTCTAATGTTGAGTATGCATGTGAGGTGCCTGGGCTATACAG